TTATATATCTATATAGCTATATAATAAGATCTTCTCCGCTCGCTTAGCTAGCTCTTAGTGTGAAAATCGAGAAGTAACGTTAAAAGTCGATATTTATATAGAATTTATATTATATTAGACTTAGTATTCGAGAGTATAACTTATTATCTTACGAGGTAATATAGTAACTCGTAATTACTCTTTATAATTCGAATAGAAATATATATAAATAATTAAATAATTAATTATTCTATCTATATTAATTTTAGTAATAATAATAAAACGTAATAAAAGAAGAGATAATAATAATTTCTTTTACGAATTAATAGATTAATAAGATTTAAAAAATAATAAATTTAAGTTTTTAAATATATTAATATTACTAGTAATAAAAGTTTAATATTATTTATTATTATTATATCGAGTAACTATAGAATTTTAGTAAGAAGTAGATATTTTGATATTACGCCGGATTTATCGGATTTTAAACCGTGCATTATTACTTTTAGCACGCCCTCGTCGTTTCCATTGATACATGGTCGACTTCTAGGTTATCATGTGAGCTTCCCCATCTACTCGCTCATCCAAGATACTCAAAAAACATTACAGATAGATCAAACTCCTCTTTTCTTCTACCAAGCCTTGACAGTCATTCTACAACAACTATGAAGCTCACTACCACCCTTTTGCCGCTCCTCCTTTCTTCTCTTGCCACGTCCAGCTCCCTTTCCTTTTTCGGTAGCAATCAACAAGTACTTGATGACGACCTCAAAGTGCCTGGTGACAACCCACTCGAATTCTGCGCTAAGAGTGACGACTTCATTCTCACCATCAACAACGTTGACCTAGAACCAAATCCTCCTTTGCCGTAAGTTCGCTATCCGGCGCATTCAAAGTCCGCCTTGGATTGCTAACGCCTCTCGCAGTGGCAAGACACTCACCATCAAGGCCAAGGGCAACTTCACAGAAGAGGTCTCGCAAGGTGCATACGTCGTCCTGGTTGTCAAGTATGGCTTGATACGTTTGATCAACCAACAAGCCGATCTTTGCGAGCAGATGAAGAGTGCCGTCGATGAGGAGTGTCCATTGATCGGAGAGAAGACTATCACAAAGGATGTGGATCTACCAAAGGAAATTCCACCTGTGAGTGGCAGCTTGTTACGTGGCGCTGCGAGCTTATGCTGACCGCAACAAACTCGTAGGGCCATTATACCGTGTCTGCAGATGTCTACACCGAAGATCATGTAAAGGTCACATGCTTGACCGCATCGATCAAATTTTGAGGTCCCCATAGCGTCATGTTTCCAAACTTCGCTTTCAAGGATTCATCATGCGTGACTCCCTACGCGGATTGTCCACTACTGTCTGAGGCAAGGCAAACCAGCGTGTACAGAGGATGTTCCGAGATGACTGGGAATCCTGTTTTGGCGTCTAAATGGCGGGTCTATGTACACAGACCTCTTAAGCAGCCAACTGCCTGCTTTGCGAGTACAATGTATATCATTGAATTTCTTCCTCAGATATTTGTGAATCATCCAGTTCCAACGCTCGCGTCCATTGACGAGGTCATTTTCCGATGTATACTCCTATCGCCTGTCATTTCACTAGGGTGTAACCATTTGGTGGGTAGCCTTGACTGGTCCAGAGAGCTTCACTGGTGTCGTCCGCCCTTTCACTCTCCGAACAACCTCCTCACCCTTTTCAAGACGCTATCCTTCTCTGGATCGTAGGGATGGTCTTTGCTCGGTATCTCCAATACTGCGGGAAAAGCTTCTGTGTAAGTATCGACCCGACCCCTTATCTTCTCCGCAATCTGAGTGTATCAGTCAGCTGAAAGGAGAATGTCATAGTTCGCCTTGAGAGTCCTGGCGCACATGTTGATTGATGAGTACTATAGCGATGTCCTTTCGCTTCTGTGTAAAGTTGTCGAAGGCTTGCTCTATAGTTGAGTTTTCTGTTTTGGCATCTACGACGAGAAAGTTTTTCTGGGCGTCTGGAGGTGGAGTGACATGCTGTTTTCCCATGGTCAGCCTACTTTCATAGCGGCTATGAGGTTGAAATTGGGCATACACCAATACCAGCAAGCAGCAGACCTGTCACAGAATCCTAGATCACATTGTAAGCATGAGGCAGTCGATTCACCAGAGGTAGATAGACGCCCACCTCATCACCTATGACAGCTAGAAAGTGGCGATCTTTGTACGCGGATGGTGGAGCTGCCATGACAATAGATGACTGTGTTAAGTGAAGACTGGGCTGATGAATGATTCCCTGCAAATCCTCAGAGGGGACTCCAAGAATGGGATGCTTCTAAACCTCAGCCAACGCTAAGTGTCAATACAGATATAAGCTGCCTCTTCACCCGTAGATTATTTCTTTAAATCTTCCACGAGGGAGAACTTAATAGCTTAACTACAACTTCTTAGATCTTATAGTATCTTTAAACCAAGATTATATCTTTTATTCGAAATATGTGTTTGATCCTCAAATTATAGCGTGGCGGGATCAGAAATGTAGAATCTCCTCTGTGTATACTTGGTCCTACTAAGTGTATTATTACATGCGCTATACTTTACATTGGCTGAGGTTTAGACGCATCTCCCCAAGACCGGCGCCCGCCTCAAATGCCTACCTAAGTAGCTTTTATTCTTCAACACCTTCATATTCGCGTTCTCAATTGCGCGTTCGTCGTGTGTCTCCTCGCTGCGAATGAGCCTGTGATGGGCTCACATTTCATGATCAATGTTGAAGACTAAAGATTGTTGTTTACGCTCTTCATTGTGATCAGAGAAACGTCGAGTATGGCACCACGACTCATTCGGCGACGGCCGCTGGTAGAACGTATCAAAGCCTATCTGAACCCGCTCGACTTCCTACTTTGGCTCTCCGAGGAATTGGATTCGAACGACTGGGATCAGTGGAAGAAGGAGTGGGCTAATCCTATCGGCTTTCTGTTAAACGTGGTGTTCCTGATTGCAAGAGCAAACACTGCATACAGCGCTAGGAATATTGGGGATGATGTCTTCGGAGACGAGGTAGCTTATACACCCTGGTTGGCCTGGTTTGTAAGTCTCCGTCCCACAGCAGATCAAACAACAGTCATCTAAGTGGGATTGTAACAGGCAGCCTTCCTTGTCCATCTCCTTTCCCTACTGTCCTTCGTGAACGCCGCCTATACTTTCAATCGCCGACGGCATTACAGACTTTTCGAAAGCTCTGTGGACGCTCCGCCGAGCACGCCGTCTGCTCACCGTGTCCATGTAGACTCCTCCCCTATGGCTTCATCTCCTCTACGCTTTTTATCGAACATACTTGCCGGCGAGAATGCAGAAGCTCGATCACATCCGGATGCCACAAGAGACGTCTGGGAAGTTGCAGTCTGGGACCCGACTCCAATTTCCCTTCGAATGTTTTGTTTGTTCAGTCCCGGACATATCTTGGTGTATTGGCTTTTCCTACCAACTGCAGTTTCCGATCCTAGACCGAGCACCACTGTTATAACAACAATGGTGCTTGCAGGCCTACTGTCTGCGCAAATGCTGCTCCTTCAATCAAGCTTCTCGCAGCAGTCGAAAGATGCATCTGTCATACATAAGGAGGTCATGAATGAGTACGACACTAAATACGTTCATCCGCGCACTCAGCCCCAGATGCGGAATGTTGGGACTCAATACTGTAATTCGGGAACGTCCACTGATGGCATGCCACAATACGCGGATGAAGATGATTCTGTGGATGTTTACGCGCCTACGTTCATCATAAATAGAGGTTTTCACACTCGACCGAACCCCAATTACGCCAAACATGTAGATCTTGATGGCTCTGCTTGGCGAGCGATGCCGTCAGGAGGTATCTCAACAAGTACAGCACCATCTGCGCAGACTCCAGCTCATCTCCGGGATTCATCATCGCCCATACGTCCACAGACCGCCATGCGACAGCCCCAATTCAGAGCTGCTGGTACTGGAGACGGTGGGAGCTTAGGAGTTTTCTCTCATGCAAACTCGCCACTTCGCAAGTCAGCGTCTACAAGTTTTGTTGGTCCGCAAGGCCAGCGGGAAAGAAGCCTGAGTCCCGCGAAGAGGGAGGGTAGTCCGTTGAAACGAAGTAGTCTTGCTCCATTGCCGAACGGACAGCGATGGGGGCATTTGCAAGGGGCTGGACCAAGAGGAGAGAGCAGGAGGTTCTAAGTTGCAGAAAACTGGAAATTGTGGCAGTACTCTCCGTGGTGACCTTCACGATGAGTCTAGCTTCAAACCACCACGTCACCCAAAAATAACCGATTCAGCTCAAAACATGCTCAAGTTCTCGACACCGAATCTGAACTGCGCACAAACGAATTAGACCAGCATGACCAATGTAACTATAAGCGTTTGGTATAGCTTATCTATCGTAATACCCCTGGACGCCTCAACCCTGTACCAGCATAGCTTTAGAATCCGCACTTGGGAACTCAGTGTCATCTCAAGCTCTCCAGTCCGGTGTGATAGCACCTGCCAGATGCGTTCGGAAGCGGGTATCGTATTATTTCGCGAAAATTTTCCATCTTATGTCAGAGTGTGTTTTCACAGTAATTTCGCCCTTCTGCTCAAGTCAGTTAAGACGAGCAAAAATCCATGACTCAAATTCGGGCCTTTAATGCGATCAGCAAGCTGGACGGTCAGAGTGTGTAAGAGCTCGTCGCGACCCAGAATGTATAAAGTGTTAGCTACATTGCTGACTCGATTTGTAGGGCTCAGGAACAGTAAGGCAGATCTGGGAAGAGAATCTTCAATATTTCGTGCGTAGAATAGCCATGGGCGAGAAATGACGATAGCGAGGAAATGTGTGGTCAACCAGTGGCTCTTTCCATCTATCGAATGAAAGAATTATGAAGAGATAGCTGCATCATCAACCCATCGAATTTTTGCAAATCAGTCTTATGAATGCTTCACCGTATATGTTTTGCCCTCATCTAATCCATTATTCTTAAGCGACTATCCCTGAGCATTGAGGAATGCACTGGCGTTTCCACCCAAACAATGTCGTCCCCGCCTACTCCAAACCCTTCTGTTAGAGCGGCTCCCTTATGCACCTCTAGGCATAAGAAAAGAGAAAATCCATCCTCATTTCCGTCAATCGCAACATTCAACCTCTTCCGCAAGAAGCCTCCTCAGCCTTCCTCACCTGTCGAGCCTTACGAGATCGCCCCTGAAATATGGAGTATCGATGCCACAGTCTTCGGCTACCTTGACACTAATGACAAGCGAGCCAAGTCGAGGGTCCAGAACGCAGGACCAGACATCCAAGCTCCCAGGCAGAAGGCCAAGCGGAAACCGGTGCCCGTCAGAGGTCTACTTGGCGAGTGCAAACAAGCACATTTTGCGGAAGGGACTGAGCAATACAAGACTGATACAATTAGAGACGAAGTAAAAGCTTCGAGTCAATTCAGGCAAGAGCGGAGAGACGAACAAAGGATCAAGAGAGGAAGCAATCGTCCTGGGGCCAGGCGAGGGAGCATGAGGACTGTGAGCAGAGATGATCAATTGGTGGAGCGTGGAGCCAACCCTAGGACCGGACTTGTGAGTCCATTTGTTGTTAGTGATGGCAGCGAGGAGTGCCTTGGGGGTGACTACATTGCTGTGGGTAAAGTCAGACCAGCCAGTCCATCGCCGAGGAGAAAGACCCGCAGTGAGAAGTGGAAGCAGGACAGCCTTGGATGGAGTCTGGTGGAGAGTCCGCTCTTGAGCCCCATTGCTCAGAGTATGAGCGACAAGACTGGTCGAACAGTTTCTATAAAACAGTTGGGAGATCGATTGCTGGTTGAGATGCCCGGTGTGGATAACCACGACCCACAGAATATGACGGATGGGCAGATCAAAAAATACCAAGAGGGGATTGCTCGGGCATACAGACATGGAGGAGGGAGTATTGCCATGCTTGACCCTGATACATTACCATCCCCCAGACAATGGACGCCGGAAGGACCTAGCACACCCCCTACCAAATTGCACAAGATCCAAAGAAAGGAGGTCGGAAGCGGTGTGGTTCGCAAGAGTGGTTCCGGTGACACGGTCATCATTAACGCAAACAGCCGAGAATCTTCTCTACCAACGCCGAGGAAAGACATCATGAAGCGGCAAAGGGTCAGGATTATCACTCCAAGCAACACACCAACAGGGTCGTCGTTTGAATCCCACACAGACATCAGCAACGCCATGAGAAAGACGGATCCTTATTTAGGCCGAGAGTCCCAAACGACGTGCAGCCAGACAGCGAGCGCTACCCAATCCCAGTCTTCTCTGGTTACTGGGCAAGCACACCAGTGCCTTCCAAACGAATCAGAATCAAGCCCATCCCCAACGCTGTCAGATCCTCCACCGGCTTCTCTGACCTTGAACCAATACCTCCCACACTTGCAATTTCTACATCCCAGCCATTTCGCCAACCTAGGAAAGTCTTCCTACCGTCGCCCAACGCAGCGATTGCCGGCAAGGCTGAGGCCTTTAGAACAACAAAGGCAAGCTGTAAAGGATGTGTGCACCACCACTTTCATTACCACTTCAACAAAGGGGCCAAGGTGGGGACAGAGGCCGAAAATGCAGAGGCAAGAAGAGAGCAGCGTCGTTCCGAGAGTGAATTACCTTTCTCCCGGGTGCGAGATGCCTCTGGATGGCTACCGTCAAGCAAGTGTACCCAGAAACAAGCAATCCTACCCCAGCACCAACTCAGTGGACAGTCTCCAAACTTCAGGCTTGATGACAGCAAGGAGCCGAGCAATCAGACCCACAGAGAAGGCCGATTCCGCAAGAGACCAAGCAGAAACAAGATATCAGAGGAAGGAACCGATGCCCGCAGACTGTCTCAGGCAACCACCGGGCGAGAACTGGCCGAAAAACCTAGCAAGCCCCACGCAATTGACTCAAGGACTAAGTATCGGACGTGCAAATGTTGCTCGAGAGCGCATTCAGCGGGACCAAAGTGGCGATGGATGCACCCCTATATACGGCCACCTTGGTAACGAATCTAGAGCGGTACCAGGAGTGAAGCTTCAATATGCTGCTGACGACAAGGAGCAGGCAACCCTACCCGCAGAGCTTGCTATTGGCGGTGATAGCGGGGCATGGTTTGCTGGACAATGGGCTGAGGCCGAGCCGGAAGGTGAACATCCAGACCTGCCGGCCTTGATGCAGGAGGACACTCTGGCGCATAGACGATCAATTTTGAGGAAAGCAGCAGACGTGAAGTGGTGGTTTTACGCCGCAGAAGCTTGCGTCGAACTTTCATCTAAACTGGGCTTTGTCCAGCAACTTCTTCACCAGATGATTTGCCATGTCATGAGGACACTGCATCATGCTTCGCCTGCCTTGACCACCTTGAGAACGGCAAATGCAACAACACAGGATCATTTTCGAGCGATGAAAGATCTTGCCCTTGCCGCCGCATACTTGCTGGTGCTTCTGAATTTATTCATGGTAGTGACAAGAATGCTTGTCTTTGTAAATAAAGTGCTGTACTGCGTCTGGCATCCCGTGCAGACGATCCTTGTGATCATTGGATGGTGTATTGTCGGCTAGGGAAGCGAACACCCTCGCTCTCGCTTCCGCAGGGGCTATGAGCCTCTAGCAATGGGGAAAACAGTATCATCACTCGTCCACTTCGTCCTTCACACTGGCTCGGTCTCTGCAAAGTCAACGTAGTCGCCACTTAAGCTCTGCTTCCATAAGTGGACCTTCCCGTCATCGCCTGTCGAAGCCAAAGCACTGCCTACGTAGGAGGTCAGACAACGACTACAACATATTCACAAATGCTTGTAATTACCGTCGTATATCCATCTTATCTTCCAGACAGGTGCCTCATCATGCGACAGTAATGCGGCTTGTTTCCACTCATGCTTGATGTTCAAGCTATTCATGACCTCGCGTGGAGGTGCATTGCGAGACATGTCTGCTAAACCAGCACCTATACCAGAGGGCGCATTACGCATAGTCGCTGGTAATGCTCTTCGCGGTCCATTGGGTTTGTATGCTTTAACGGCCGGGGTCCTTGACGATGCATCAACTTCATGTGGTGTGTTGACTTCGAAAATACGAATTGTACCGTCATTACAGGCCGCAGCAATTATATCGTACGGATGAAGGCATCCCGGTGCCCAGGCTATTTCATTGACTGTGGCATCGGTCTGTATCTCGATCATTTCGTAAAATAGGTAATTACTTTCCGAAGGCTCACCAGACTTAACGGCGCGATATATTTTTATGTGTTCGATCGCGGAGACAGCGAGTGAAATTGCATTCGGGTCCAAACCTGCGAAAACTGCGTTGGTACTGGGGCCCTCGCCTTGGTGGAAAGATAATCTGAATCTAGCCTCGGTGCCTCGATGGTGCTGCCCGAAGGGATAGATGTTGTCGATTACGTTCCATGAGCTCAACGATTCGGGATCTGCGGGCTCCAAAAGGGAAAGTAGTCCATCGTGGGTAATTAGAGAGAGGAAAAGGTCATGTCTGATAGTCTTAGAGCCAAAGGAAACATAGGAGACATGGTTGAGCGGCGACTGCGAGAAGATGCACCTGAAGCGTCGTCCACTCTTGAATGCTTGCGATGGGTCCTCTCGCCATAGTTTGAACTTGTTGTCGCCGCCAATAGTTGCAAAGAACTGTCCCAAGCTGGATGCAAGCCATTGGACCTTCAGATTACAAACCTCTTAGCAACGCATCTCCACGGCAGTAGAAGGGCTATACTTGCATCCAGCACCTCGGCATCATGTCCACGCCATTGGTCTACTAAGAAATACTCGTTATCTTCGTCTATATTGTACACCCTGATTTTGTGATCTGCCGAGCACAGGACTATCCGTGTGCCAGAAGAATTGAAGCTCGCTGCAAGCACTAGGGAGGTTTAGCAACAGTATCCAAAAGAAATACATAAATCGTATTACGTATTGAGTACCTATATCGGCGGCCGCATGCTCAAAGCTCTGAAATCCGTTCTTCCTCCCTTCGATGTCATTTACATCGCTATTTTCACCCATATCAGGCTTTTCAAACCAAACTTGGATTACGCACAGTGCCGCTGTCATCCAGAACATAGTACCTAATTGGAAAGCTTGCTTTCTCAATGCTCAAGAGTTGAAATCCCAAATGGCTTCTACGCTAAGAGGCTAGTGACCAATCAGACCATCGGATCTCACCATTTTCAGTCTAAAACACACCTTATTTCTTCATTTTCGATCTAAACGCGGGTGCACACGGGTATATCCAAAAGAGGAAGCTGGAAAAGAACTTCAAAATCCTCAAATCTACCTTTTTTGATTCCTTTTCTTTTATCAAAAATATAATAATAAACTAAATACGTAGAGTTATAGAGTTAACTATGCGCTTTCAAACAGTACAGCGTAGACGAAATTTGATAAAGTATTCGTAAAGATATACTAAGAACTAAGATTTTTACTTGAATTATCGAGCTTGCGAGAAGAGCCTCTCCGGCAGGAGCCCTCGGAGAGCCCTCGGAGAGCCCCCGGAGGGTTAGGGGGGTTTCAGGGGGTCTCCCCCTGATCAGTGAAATATAACATCTCTCTCTCGATTCTCAGGGTTAGACCACTTAAAATCCCTTAAGCCCTTCGGAGCTCTTTAAGGGCTCTCCGAGAGCTTATATCGGAGGGGCTGTCAAAGCAAGCTCGAAATCAATCAAATATCACTAAAACAATCAAATTTCGAGCTTGCTTTGACAGCCCCTCCGATATAAGCTCTCGGAGAGCCCTTAAAGAGCCCCCGAAGGGTCCGAGGGGTTTTAGGGGGTCTCCCTGAGAATCAAATATAGTCAAAAACCAGTACTCGGCAAGCTTTTCACTACTGGGAAGCCCGCGCCCCAGCACATATTTAATTAAAGTCCTTTACTCGGAGCAATGTCAATTGGCTGCGGCTATCGCGCTTATGACGACCGACTATTATTTTTGGCCTGTAGTTACTGCAACATCTTGGAAATAAAAAAATGTCTGTCTTTTGAACTGCCATGACTACCACCTTATCTGGGCCAGAGGCATGGAGCCTTTTGACACTCTCTGCGGCCTGTGTTGCCATCCTAATCAACACGTTCCATGGCGATGGCGAGCCTCTAATCGCCTCGTTGGCATTTAGCGGTCTAGCGTTCGCTCTCACCTTCAGCCTGATTCGATGGCTCGGAGACGTTTTCATGAAAGTGAATCTAAAGGGCCGAGACATGTCAAAGCTCAAACAGATCGAAATGTACATAGGCTGGTAGATATCTTTTTGTGCCTTTTTACGGTGCTAATTATTTGATCATAGCCCGGAGACTATGGGAGCTGTATGCGCTGTAGTCCATCTTCTCACGATAATTATTTTCATACCTTTTCCCTTTTACAAAGATATTGTGGCCGCCACTTCAGGCGGAGGCAACAAAGAACTCGTCATTGAACACCAGTTTGTCGAGACGGGTCGGAGTTTGCATCGCTTTCCACATAACAAGGTCAGAGAATAGCGCAACATTCCAGAACTCGAGATGACTGACTCTACCCCTCTTCTAGTTGGCATCGTATCTATCTGCAATCTTGTCCCTACAATCTGTTGTTCTATTAGGCATCGGCGACGATTTGTTCGACATTCGGTGGCGACATAAGCTCTTCATACCAGCCTTTGCTTCGATTCCTATGTTAGTCGTCTATTTTGTCGATTACGGCGTCACGAATGTCGTGGTACCGGTGCAACTGGAGCAGTACCTGGGCAAGATGGTAAATCTGGGCTGGCTGTATTATGCTTACATGGCTGCAATTGCCATATTCTGCCCGAACAGCATCAACATTCTGGCTGGCATCAATGGCATCGAGGTTTCTCAATCGTTAGTCATCGGGTGCCTCTTGCTCGCCAACGACGTCCTATCTCTCTACGCAGCTCCGAGTACTCCGAATCCTCACCCAGCGACCGATCCTCACCTGTTCTCAATGTATTTGCTTTTGCCATTCATGGGAGTTTCGATGGCTCTCTGGTGGCACAACTGGTATCCAGCAAAGGTATTCGTGGGTGACACATACTGCTATTTCGCGGGCATGGTCTTCGCCATTGTGGGCATCCTTGGACATTTCAGCAAGACGGTTCTCCTTCTATTCATACCACAAATCATCAACTTCATCTACTCTGCACCACAGCTGTTCCGGCTCATACCTTGTCCAAGACATCGTCTGCCCCGATTCAACGCGCGAAGCGGCCTCTTAGAACCGTCAGTGACGCAATGGCAACACCCGCCGTCCAAGCCTGTGGTTCTGCTGATGAGCCTGCTCGCCAATTTTCCCGTACCCTTACTTAGAATGGAAAAGAACAGTGAGGGAGAGATTGTCGAGTCTACCAATTTGACCTTACTAAACATTTGGCTTGTCTGGTTTGGTCCCAAGAGGGAAGACCGTCTTGCAATTGAACTTCTAGTTATGCAGGCATTGTGTGGTATTTTAGGCCTATTTATACGACATGAGCTCGCTCTATGGGTATTTAGACAGGATAATAGGGAATAGATGAGCTTGACGATAGGTCGTAGCATGACGCTGTAAAATATCTTATCAGGTACCGAATCGCGTCAAGTCAACTTCGGACCTGGCTCGTCTTGAGGACAGGAGACCGACTTACTAAGCGCAGAAACTGCGCAGAAACTACGCAGCCAATCAGCAGATAGCTTTAGCCGGTTACCGCGCCGATGTCGGAGGCACCTTTCTCCCCGTCGTACAGTAACTACTTTACTCTCTCTCTCTCTTCCATGATATACCCAATTGTATTCTTTGAGTGGCCGCACCGCCCAAATTGAAATAGTTGAAGCTGCGAACCAGACCCCTGAAACATGCCTTCTGCAGACAGAAAACCCCGAACACTTTACGACAAGGTTTTTCAGGACCACATCGTTGATGAGCGAGATGATGGAACAATTCTATTATATATCGGTATGAGGATTCTCGCAAACAAGGTTTTCTTCATGTACTGAAGTTCTACACAGATAGACATCTCGTCCATGAAGTCACATCACCGGTGAGTATTGCAAACTCATGCTGCCAAGTGGAGACTGATCGAGCCCAAAGCAAGCGTTTGAGGGTTTGAGGAACGCCAAGCGAAATGTGCGGAGACCAGATTGTACTCTGGCCACTACCGATCATGTGAGGATGTGGGACATCTTGTTTCCGTCTCGATTAGATTAGTAACAGCCTACAGAATGTGCCCACTACGCCCCGCAAGAACTTCAAGAACGTGGGACAATTCGTCGAGGAGGCTGACTCCCGCACACAATGCCTCACCCTGGAAGAGAACGTCAAGGCGTTTGGCCTAACCTACTTCGGCTTGGGCGACAAGCGCCAGGGCATTGTACATATTATAGGCCCAGAGCAAGGCTTCACTCTGCCCGGGACCACTGTAGTCTGTGGTGACAGCCATACATCTACACATGGAGCCTTTGGAGCCTTGGCTTTCGGTATCGGCACCAGCGAAGTTGAACATGTACTCGCGACACAGACGCTGATTACGAAGCGAAGTAAGAACATGAGGATACGAGTGGACGGTGCGATACCACCAGGGGTCAGTAGCAAGGACATAATTCTTCACGCCATCGGTGTAATTGGCACTGCAGGTGGAACTGGTGCAGTCATCGAGTACTGCGGATCAGCTATACGAGGATTGAGCATGGAGGCTAGAATGTCAATTTGCAATATGTCCATTGAAGCAGGGGCAAGAGCCGGAATGATAGCGCCAGACGAGACTACATTCAAATATCTGCAGGGAAGGCCATTGGCGCCAAAATTTGACAGCCAGGAATGGATGAAGGCCGTCAAATACTGGTCAAGTCTCAAGACCGACGAAGGCGCGACTTTTGATGAAGACGTTTTTATCGATGCTAAGGAGATCATTCCGACGGTATCTTGGGGAACTTCGCCACAAGATGTTGTTCCTATCACCGGCGTCGTGCCGAACACTGATGACTTTCCCACGGAACCAGCAAGGGACAGTGCAAGACGTGCGCTCGAATACATGGGGTTAACGCCTGGCACACCCATGGAGAATATAGAAATCGATAAGGTATTCATCGGCTCTTGTACTAACTCGAGGATCGAGGATCTTCGAGCCGCTGCTCGCATCGTTGATGGCAAAAAGATTGCGCTAAACATCAAAAGGGCCATGGTTGTCCCTGGCTCTGGTCTTGTGAAGAAGCAAGCTGAGTCTGAGGGTCTCGATAAAACATTCATTGATGCTGGGTTCGAATGGCGGGAAGCCGGCTGTTCTATGTGTCTGGGCATGAACCCAGATATCCTCTCCCCAAAGGAACGTTGTGCAAGCACCTCAAACCGAAACTTTGAGGGCCGCCAGGGTGCTGGCGGCAGGACCCATCTCATGTCACCAGTCATGGCGGCCGCTGCCGCAATTGTAGGCAAATTAGCAGATGTTCGAAAATTAGCAGACGAGAATGTTTCACCAGCAAAGGCTCATCCGAAGGTGCAGCTTGGCCCTGAAGTCTCTGACACTGATACCGACGACGATCTGGAGCGTCTACTCGATTTACCAGAGGACAGCCAGCCTCATGCCAATAGCGCCACTGCAAGTTCCTCAGGGGGCCAGCCAAAATTCAGTACAGTAAGGGGCATAGCGGTGCCCATGGAGCGGTCGAACGTTGACACAGACGCGATAATCCCCAAGCAATTCTTGAAGACGATAAAGCGCACCGGTCTTGGGACGGCTCTTTTCTACGCTCTCCGTTTCAATGAAGATGGTACCGAGAAACCAGACTTTGTCTTAAATCAGGAACCGTACAGGCATGCCAAGATACTTGTGGTTACAGGACCAAACTTTGGCTGTGGTAGTTCTCGTGAGCATGCGCCATGGGCATTGCTTGATTTCGGAGTCACATGCATTATCGCTCCCTCATACGCTGACATATTTTTCAACAATACCTTCAAAAACGGCATGCTACCGCTGGCTATCCCAGACCAAAATACCCTGCTCAAGATTGCTGAAGAGGCCAAGGCAGGCCGTGAGATTGAAGTCGATC